CGAGGGATGGGACGAGGTACAGGGTCCCCACCTGCACGAGCAGGATTTTGGAAGGACGATCTAGGGGGACAGGTGGGGCTCTCCTGCTCCTGACAAGGGACACGACAGGCTCGCAGCGCGGTGCTCGGTGGACTCCCACATCCACTGGCGGTCTCATCTCAGTCTAGCGACCTGCCTCCAGCTTGTCGCTGGCAGTCTCTCGCTACCGGCACACTGACACAGGGGTGGCAGGGGCGGCGGCACGACCCCCCTGAGTGAGGAGCAGGAGAGAGAGCTTGGAAACTTTTTTTTTCAGCGTGTCTGCTGATCTCGTCCAGCAAACACACACCCCGACCCGGACGCACAAGCAGGACACGCTGCTGACCTGGGCCGCTCGTCACGGGCAAGCCGAGGCTCACACGTATCCGTCACTAGCAGTGCCACTGACTCTGCGCAAGATGCCATCAACGTGCAGCCGTCGTCGGCGACCACCATCAGGGTTGCTGCTCCTCACAGCCTCGCCATTCTCGCTCGCGCTCGCCGCGGTGAGCGCTCGCAATGGTGGCCTGCCGGCACCAACCTACTCCCTTCACGACGCCGCTGCAGCTGGCGACATGAGCGCGGTCGACCTGCTCCTCAGCGCTGGCCTCTCGAGCAACGAGCTCAACGCCAGGCGAAGCACGCCGCTGCACATCGCAGCCCTGAAAGGACACCGCGAGATTGCAGCGCTGCTGCTGGCGCACGGCGCTGACCCGAACGCCGCCAATATGGGCGGCAGCACGCCGCTCCATGCCGCGGTTGAGATGGGCCAGCACGAGCTCGCAGAGTTGCTCGTTTCAAGCGGCGCAGACGCCTCCTCGCCGTCAGGCCTGCTGTCGCCCGAAAGTGCAGCCCCTCGCATGATCGCAGCGACCGGTCCGTGGGGTGGTGCCTAGGTGAGGGGTCACAGCCGCTCAAGATGGCCCTCGGCCAAGGGGATGCCGGCATGCTCGCTCCGCCCTCCTGCGCGGCGGCGCTCTCTCCACGCCTCTCTTGTGATTGTGTGCACGGCGTGTCCTGGTCAGGCATGCTCTGCGCCCTCCTGGGCGGCGGCGCAGCCCTCGACGGTGAGACGGTGCAGGCCGCCTTTTGGACGGCGGCGCGGCTGGCCGAGCAGACGGCCGACGGCGGGCTGCTGCCGGAGGAGGTGCCTCGGCTGCTGCACCACGTGTTCGACGCGGACTTCGCGCACCTGCAGGGGCGGCGGCGCTTGACGTACAACGTCACCTGCCGGCAGCCCGCCGAGCACGCGCCAAAGACGCGCTCGGAACATGAGCCGGGGTTGCGGCGCCCGCGGAGACCGAGGAAGCTTGCACCAAGCTGCCACGAACCTTCTCACCTT